ATTCAATGATGATTATAAAGTTAATGTGTGTACATATGAAACATTGGAGAAATTAGATGCTTCACTCTGTTTACTGCCATGCAACGGTGGTAGAAAATTGCTGATGTTTGTGCAAGGCTAATCACAGTTATCAGAAGACCACTCTATTCTGTGATTCAATCAGAGTAGCATTTTGTCCTATGACCTGATCAATTGCCTTGTCAGAAGAACACTCTATTTTGTAACCCACCCCATGTGTTATGATCTGCTAATAAAAAGGCTTCTGCAGAGGAAGTCCGTCAGAGAGTAGATTTAGCTGAATGTAACTCTCTCCTTCTGCAGAAGTTGTTAAAAATTCCGCTTCTGTGTAGACTCAGTTCCTCTTTTACGAACCTTCATTTTTAGAACCTAACAGTTGTTAGGTGATTAGTGTGTTTAGTGCAAATTGACAATCTGAATTTCTTTTAGTTGTTTTTTTTTTTTTTTTTACCTAGTAGAGTAGACTGTGCTTGATTCATAGTATAAAAGCCGATATACACTCATGCATGGGTTGCCCTGGCAGTCTGTGTGCTGTGTGCAAGCCCATTGAAGCGTTGTACTGTATACGTTTATAGTTGACATGAATGTAGGTGCAGTACTTGCATAAACCACAGAGGGGCAGTGAGCAACATAACGAGTGGAAATGGCGAAAAAAAGAGGAAATGGTTGACGTCCCACTTAGAAAATGGCCCAGTGCAGTATTTATTATTATTGAAGAATAATAGGTGTGTTTATGGCAGCTAAAGAGAAATATGCACTGGAATAAAATGGTAGGTTTACCCGCCGCACACAGTGAGATGTGATGATGGGGAAATCATTCTGCCTGTGAAACCCATATTGACCTTTTTGTTTTTTAAATAATAGATATAAAAAAATGTTGTTTTACTAAATAAAGCTGAATGCATAATATACTATATGTAGTTGTTTCAGACTTTTTTATGTTGTATGTGAAACAGAAACTAAAATCCTTGTTTATACCAAAGCTTAGCAAATAAACTCACCCTGTTTGTTTTTTTCAGTCACTAAATAAACCATAACAGCACTGCATTTAAGTAAATGTTTCCACTTGAACGTTCAACATTTGATATCAGTACAATGAAACTTGTATATCCTCCCATTTTGAACGAGGCTGGCACCAGTGGTCGACGCCAAGGCGCGCACCAAGCTCTTTGTTCAATGTGGTTAGTATAAACCAAGCAGCAATATCAGGGTTTCATTTTATGTCTGTCATGTTTGTAACCCATGATGCTTCATGATCAGACAATTATCTTGTTATTTTTTCCATGTTTTATATTGCTCTCTTTTCCCCTTTTATAAAAAATGTGCAATGATAAAATCTTTTTCTAACAATAATCACATACAGTATGTGTTTTGAATCTACTGTAAATCTTAATAACAATAAATCTCAGGTTGCCAAAAACAGTCACTTTTTGGGGTGTGGTGTCCAAAGAGAGTATGTTTCTACACTTGTACAAAGGCTGAAAGTTGTGAAAGACCCTTCAAGTTTTTGCAAGAACTCTGAATTTTTCAGAGGAGGCCAACCAAAATATTAGCAAAAGCAGGGAACAGAAGCACAAACATTTCCTTCATCAATCCTCTGCCTACGGCGATCTGATATCATGCACAGCTCTGAACTTTCAGTAATAAAGCAGGCATTGTGGAAAGACTACAACAGTGAACTGGCACATCGATCAGCTATAGCTCTAAAATCTGCATCAGCAGTCTACTGTACCGATGTTTTTGAAATGATGGTGGAGAACACAATCAGTTGAGGCCATTTTCTTTTTTTCTTCACTAAATTCAATTGGAAACACACCGAAAGGTGCTGGAGAATATTTTTCCCCTCAAGAGGGACTCTGTGTGATAAGACTGATAACCAATGGGGTGAGGTGTTCCATTTTCAAATTTTCTTTCACAAAGCATCATCCATCTATTCATGTTCTACACCTGCTTAATCCCGTGCATATCCCCAGCGGTTGGATTGAGTCAATCATAGAACTGAGAAGCATATAGAAATAAACAATCCTCAATTTTTTTTTTTGTACTATCTCCTCTGGAGGCAGCCGGTTGTTATTCTTACTTTCCTTCAGACACAGCTGCTCTGAAAGTAGAGGTCAGCTTTGGTATATTTGGTGTCCATAACATGTATTTTTGTCTTGTTTGGCAACGCTTGAAAACAAAACAATTTCCTGAAGAGTTTTTGGGCAGCGTGCCGTGGAGCACTGGCAGCTGGCCAACCACTGAGAATTACAGAAACAGCTGTTTTTACATGTGCTGTTTGCTTCCATGTGTTTTGCTCATTAGAATGGTTAAAATGGTAGTTTTTTTTAGGTGTCGTTTGGATTTTTCAGTTTACATATTGAGCATCTTAAAGTGTCCTCGGCACACTGGAACCCTATGTCTCTAATTGGAAAACTTTTATAACTTTAAGCATAGACTTCTGCATGCTTCGTTATTCTTTCCCGGTAGATGTCTGAGATTGAAAAGTGATTGGCAGAGGGAACATTTTGGAGTCCAAGAGGATGCTTGAGGTGTTTTCACATTCAAAGCCGTTTCCTAATTAGAATGTCATGCACTATTCCAGTTATTAAAGATCTTGGTGAGATGTGTCAGATCAGCCTTGCTCCTTAGATGCATCATAATATCCATCTGATTTATGCAGAAAGATGTGCATCGAAGTAGACATAGTCATTAATCTCGCATCCCTTAATCTAACTGAGGGGTTTTCAACAAGTATTTACTTCCTCATTAGGTGCTTTTGACTTTCACCCACTGTTTTAGATGGACTTAAAAACTACATATTTTACACTCACCGGTGCTCCTGCTATTACCATTGACATCTTTCTCCTTATTAACCCAATTTTGCACGTACAAAAATGCATATTTGTTCAGTTTCTGTAGATGCACCAGTGTCCCTGTCCTCCTTCACCTTCTCTTTTCTTTAGCTAACCCCACGTTTTCTGTAGAATAATACACTTAGGTCCATTTTTAAAGAACCCATTGTGCCATGCACTCAACCAAAGTTTACTAAAGTTTAGAAACCGGCCCAAAGCATCATAGATCCTCTACCAGACTTAACAGTTAGGAGTTTGCACATAGTCTAATTCTTTGTTTTACTACTAAATTACCAGATTTTTTCCCCCTTTTTGTTGCTGAAAAGCTTATAAATAACCTACTGTCAAAAAACATACGCAATAATATCTACACATAAGAAAAGAAAAAAACATTTTTTTTCATTTAAAGCTACAGTATGTAATAATTACAGGGATATACAGTCAGAAATGTAATATATTATACATAACTATGTTATTTATCATCATCTACGAGCTCAGCCTCTTAACCTTAATATTTGTGTTGCCTTAGAATTCGTTATTTATAATTACATAGGAGCGGGTCTCGCAGCCATGGAGGCAGACATCTTTGCGCTACGGCAGCGCAGAGCCAACAAACTAGCGATTGCAAGATCGCCCATTACGCTCGAAAGTAAGTATATTTATTATCTTAAGTCTACATGAAATCTATACCCTACACAGACTAATGAAATACTATCTGTAAAATTATCTATGTAAACAAACCTCCTCACTTGAGAAGGTAGGTGATGCGGACGTCGTGGAAGACATTTTGTCCCGTAACGCTCGCCGTACTGTTGGGGGGGGAGAAGCGGTGGGGGGAGATGTTCATGTTGCTGCGGTCTGCAGTCTGGACGTTAGATGTCGCTGAAAATTACACACTGTAGCTTTAAGTATATTCTAAGTATTTATATATTTCTCTTTGGTTAAGTTTGTACATAGATGCGCTTATGCTATTCTTTTTTTTATATGTATTTTCTTCTTTTTTTCCATCCTTCTGTACTCTTGTTGTAACCAGTGAATTCCTCTATTGTTGGATTTATAAAGTTCATTTTTTTTTTTATTAATAATGTTCTCATCTGACCAAAGCTCAAAATCCCAACTAAAGAATATGCAGAGTTTGGCAAACTTGCTTGTTTGTGGTGGTGAGGCTGGAACTTTCTTAGTTACTGTAGCATATAGATGCTTTCCAATGGTTGTGATGAATACTTGGTGCATTTCTCATGGTCTGACCTTTTCTAGATTATAATTTAATCTACCTCCTTTTCATAACTATTTGTAGATGCAGTTGTGTCTCATGCAGAGTCGTGTTACTGATCTGGTTGCTTTACACATTTAAAAGTATGCTGCAGATATGGGCAGAATAGGAAATCGCGAATGGAGCAATAAAGATATAATTTAAAAATGGAAAAACTCATTGGTGACAAAATGGGTACATTTTTTAAATATCATAAATATTTTTAAATTTTAAGTAAAGTCTTTAGATCTTACCTGTGAGGATTCTCACTGATTATGGTCAAGCTGGAAAAGTTCATTTCAGAAATTCACATCCAGTTGCCTAACCTGAACTTTCCAAGCTTTTTAGATCTTTTCTTTTTTAGCACATGGGCATACCATATTTAATATGGTATGACCATGGCCATATGGCATATTATAACCTATGAAATACAACAGTAGAAAGTAAAAAATCTATCCAGTTTGTGGGTCTTTAAAGGTGGGGGGTTTATTTATCATTATATCATACCTGGACTTATACTGCTTTATACTAAGAAGATGATCTATAGATGATTGTACTAATTTAAATACATTTCCCAGACATTGGTAGTTTTTGGATCTATGGTTTTTCTTCCGTTTCATGTATTTATGTCCCTGTTAGGAAACTAATGATCCTCTTTTTTAAACATTCAACATAGATTTATTGCTGCAGGTTTAACAATGTGCAGGAGTTTCAGGTTCTCCCACTGACAGTGTTTCATTAAACGGATGTGTTATCTGTCTCTTCTGTCTTATTAAGAGCCCGGCTCCATCGTCACAGTCATAAATCTGAGGCACATCTTCTAAACCTGCAATGTTTATGGTGTGTCTCTTATGCTTCAGCCTGTCTTATCTGCTGTTCTGTCCTGTCAAAAACAGGTGAACTTGGTGCTGGATGACGGACGGTCTCTGGGTTTGATGATCAGAGGGGGAGCTGAATACGCTCTGGGAATTTACATCACTGGGGTGGACAAAGGATCAGCAGCAGAGTGCGGCGGACTCAAGGTATGTCTGCTTTCTTTTCTTACCATTCTTATTTAAAATATGGAAATCTTAATACTTTGAATGGAATTTTCCAAAAATGACTTTTTGAGAACATAGGAAACTGGAAAATGACAGATTACCACATAAGTAATTATTTGTATTGTATAGCATTATGCCCAATTTATTTTTTTCTTTGCCCCTGTTATGTTATAATTTACAAAAAAAATATAATACTTCTGATACTTTATGCAACCCTGCTACCATAACATTACTTATTAAAATAATCTTTACTTAAATAAAAAAAATGACAAGGCCATATTAGACCTCTTCAAAAAATACCTTTTTCATCAAACCTATTGAAATCGATGTTTTTCCCCATTCTCCAAAGTGTAAATGAACAAAATATGCCAGTTATTTTGATCTTGGACCTTTGATATCCCTGCCGTAAACTCCATTTAGTTTTCGTGTTGACGTTTTGACAGTTTTAAAAAAAAAACACATTGAACAAGTGACAATATATTATATGCTGTATACTATATCACAAACTATTACTTAGAAAAAAAAATTTTGGTCAACACACATGTATAGACTGAAGTTATAGACTATATAATTTCATCCTTGTGATATATGTGCAATTGTGAATTATAAGTAACATTTTTGAGGTAAAGGTCTGTAATTTATTTGTTCCGAGCATCAAAATGTGCATTTTTCTGCATTTAAATTAGTGAAAATTTACACAGGTGTTTATATGTTTGACACCATATGCAAGAGAATTTCATTAGCTTTCATTTGGTTCCACTTTCAATGCTATAGCATAAACCTATGGGAAGCTACAAAGAAAACAAAGACGTAATACCCCAAATTTTTCGCCATTTTTGAAAAACGTCAACACCAAAACTAAATGGCTCTTGCGGCAGGCATATCCAAGGTCCAAGATCAAAATAAATGGCATATTTTGTTCATTTAGACCTTGGAGAATGGGAAAAACATTGATTTCAATAGTTTTGATGAAAAAGGTATTTTTTGAAGAGGTCTAAGGCCATATGCATGATAATTTGAGCAAATATACAATATTTAATCTAAACTAAATGTTGAAATTTGTATGGAGCATGTGAAAACTTAAGTGAGGTAAATTTAAAAACTTGTTTAAGTGAATACATGTCAACTATTTTCTGAAAATAAATTCGTATTTAAAAAATTCTAATTATATGTTTAAATATTTTTACTATATGTTTTTCAGATGACTGAGTATTTGTAGCAGTTTTTTTTTTTTTTTTGCCAAAGACGGTATATGATTTTTATAAATTACTAAATAAACAATACTGCGCTCTGCTGTTTAACAGCTTACAGTATGATAGATTAAGTGCCACATAGAAAGTGTGCAGACAATGTTTTAGCTGGAAAAATAAAATGTTATGATGGTTTATTAACTGTTTGTTTTTATTTCTGCAACAAGAAAAATACAAATAAAGCCACAGCTCAGTGAACTAAAGAGATTTCAACGACTTGGTAGTTGTTTTCATATGAAGACGAGATGAAGCTTAAAGCACCATAAAAAAGGGCATCTATTGGGAAAAATTCTCCCTGGGACCAACATGCTACGCTAAATTTTGCAGAGGTTGCATGCTGCAGGCAGCTGGATTAAGACTTCAGTCCATTTTTTCTCCTGTATCTACGATGTTTACATTTCAGTTTAATACTTCAGTGCAGAGCGAGCTACATTTTGAGTCGTTAAACTACCTTCTGCTTTGTTTTGACAATTGTGTTGCAAAATCGTCAGGTACAAAACAGTGCTGCATTCTAATAGGAGTGTACCATTTTTCTGGGGTTTTTTGTTTATATAAATATGTGTCCCAGTTACAGCCCTATAAATGATGAGATCAGTGATCCATACCTGAGTAATTTTGTATTCTTTATGGTTGCGTGTAGGAAAAGTTTCAGGAAACTCCAATGAAAAAACCGCCAGTGATTCTTTTTTTAGTCGTGTTGTGTTTACCAGCACTTCTCAGTGAATGTATGAGTTCAAAAGTACCATTAAAGACATTCAAAAGTAATCAGCAGATTCGGCTTTCCATTTACCTCTGGACCAGAAACAGAGAAGTTTGATTAAATATACGTTTTCTGCTTGTGTGAACGTTTTAACTGTTGGGTCAAATGGGAATAACTCTGTTGTAGGCTGATTTGTGCAGAATCAGTTTTAAAACTTCTCACCTGAAATAGTCTATGTACCACTAAATAAACGGTACATTCATAATAAAATCTAGAACAGTCAATCTAGGAAAGCTTTACATCTGAAATTATATTGTTATTTCTATGATTTTTTGCATCCATAATCCCGACCTCCTGGGGTGCTGAAATTTTTGACTAATAGTTTGGAAACTCTAGAGTATTACTGATATGCAAAAAGATTTTAAGCCTGCATGTTGAATCAGACACTGCTTTGGGATTATAGATTTTCCAACAGTGCTGTGATTAAAAAATATTAAACTTTCTATTTACTTTGTAAGCTGATATACTGACTTCTAAGATAACCTCTCCAAAGTCTTGACCTCAACTCTGATAAACATTCCAGACCCAAAATGCTGGCTTTGTTCCAGGAAATAAATTGTGCTCAGTTTTATTTTTCTATTATTATTTTGCCCTGGGAAGTAATATTTTAGCTAAATTAAGACAAATGTAGATTTAAAATCAGACTCTAGTTAGTTAAAAAAAAGCCCTCCTTGGACCGGGAGGATCAACCTTAAACCTTTAGTAAAAGCTTCCTTCTAACAGACAATTTTAACACAGATCAGGCTGCTATAATTTACTGCCGGGTCAGTAGGTGTCAGCAGGTCTTGTTCAGAGATCGGTCATTGTATCGTATGCTTTATATAAACATAAATCTATCATCTATATGCTCTGTTTGTGCTGGCTGAGGAGGTTCATCTGGAATTTGATAACAGCTACAGGAGAGCTTTTACATCATATTATTTTCTAAAAGTTCCCACACAACCTGCATGGTGATCTTAGCTGTTCGCTTAAATATTTCTTAGGATAATGAAATGAGATCCTGCAGAATTGCAATCTGGTGTTGGGAAGATGACAAACCGTGTCCTTTTTTTGGCTTTGAATTAAATATTGTTTTGTTTTAACCCTGTAATGCCAAATGTATCATATTTGATACATACGGTTTCTGAAATGTTTTGCTTCTGACACCTTTTGCATAATTTAATGGTAAAAACTTTGCTCAAAATCCTATTGTACACAATCAGATATACCTGATAACAGAGGGCAGAAGACACAAAAAATAATCTTGTCTTATCGCATAATAATATATTACTAATATCAAAGTTGTATTTCTGTTTTTTCTTTGTACATATTTTGTTACTTCAAACCAAAAAAAAAAAAGATTTTCTGTTTTGTTTTATTCTTGGATCGGGCTTTAAAGGGTTAAAGAAGCTAATGGGGAAAACAAAAAACTACAGTGTTGCTTTTCATCATCTGACTAGGGCAGGAGCTTAAGCAGATTTTAGTTCCAGGCCAAATGGATTTGAAGGTTATTTGGCTACAATACATTATGTCCAACTATTTAAAGCACTTTTAGTTTAAATATTTTCAGTTAGTTTGCCCCCTGCAGATCCACTTTTATTCTCTTAGTTGTCAGACTTGCAGTGCTGATGGATCAGATAAGCATATCGCGCTAAGATGATCAAACTGTGATGGATGTAGCAACTTGAAGACCCTGCTGAGAAGTTTAGGAATAAATATATAAAGACACATGAGGTATCTCTTTCCTTCCACGCCGTCAGGGTTGACAGAATGACAGAGACAGACAGGAGTGATAAAGGTAACAGGGAATCCTCCAAAGACTGCAGCCAAAGCACCAGTGACTCAGTAAAGCTGATAAAGATGACGGGTTTCATTCAACCTCAATATTTTTTTTTTTTGTGTGTTATTTAAGTCAAAGTAGTGAAAAGTTTTTTTGCAGAGATTTTTGAGTTCATGAACACTTTTTCTTACTGTTTTGTGGATTTTAGAGCCACAGGCATAATCGTTTGATTTGATATAGAAAATATAACTGCTCAGTCTGCCCCAGGCTTAAGGTTTAGCCAAATTGTAAAATAATTTAAACTTTTTTTGTTACTGACAGCATTTAGACCAACAGTTTTAAATGTTTCACTCTTGTTATTCATAGTGAACTAATTGTAGGGTCGTCCATAACTGCCCTCTGCGCTGGATCTCTAGTTTCTTTCGCTGCAGCTGCCTGCTTCTTATTAGATGATGCAGTGATAGATGCTTAGTTTCACCCTGAGGTGTTTATAATCATCACGTTTCCACCATGTCCCAGTCTTGGCCTCCAGACCCCAGAGAGGATGGTTCACATGTGCAAATGTTACCACATCTCCTCTCTCTATCTGAGTCAACCATTTGTTCCATACAGACTTAACCCATTTCCTACCCACTGAGCTCTTTGGGGAAGGAAAGGTCAACCTTTCTCATTGGCCTTTTGTTGACATCCCCCTGAATGGCTTTAATTTGATCAGAGACGAGGAGGAAAGGGTTGTACCTTCTGTAATCGACGGCACATAAATGAGACCAGTGGATGACGCATATGGCACCTTCTGTCTTCTATAGGTCTTAAATGTGAAACACAAACACACTTTAATGTCTTTTGTATATTGGAGTTTAGGGCTGAAACAATCATTTTTATCAATTATTGAAATAATCATCAAATAATGTAGTGATTGATTAATCGTTAATTGGAGTATAGAGACTCTAAAAAGCCTTTAGCTGACAGAGCAACCCACTTGGAGACGTAATTATACCAAAATTGAAAAAAAATATATATCAAGATTTTGCATGTAAGATAAAAAAAAACATTATCATCTGTCAATATGCTCTATCCGCTCCTTAAGTGAAAAAGTTTGTTTCACCTGGTTTAATTTAATAAAAAGTCTTCTTTAAAGAACCTTTGGCAATCCAATTATTAATCGATTAATCAGAAAAGTAATTGTCAGATTAATCAAATTTGCAAAATAATC